CAGCTAACCAGTATTTTCGCCCCTTCCCAAAATTACTTCAACGGAAGGTTTCCAGATGGATATGCGGAGCAAATCCATCTGATGGAGTCAGGTTAGCGTATATTAGCTGCGACATATGAATCAAGATGCTATGACTGAAAAAATTAGATTGACCGTTGATATATGATTGGCTGAATTTAGGTGTTCAGGCTGACGTAGAACTAACTGGCCTGCATAAAATAACAGAAAAACAGATTTTAAGATAGGATTTTTTCCTTTACTAGATATTTTCTAAACTTTGGGACAATATGGTCTGATAAAGAGAACATTTATATACATGTTTAAGCCAGAATGATTTGACATTTAAATATGATTTCCCTACGACTTTAAAATAAAACATTTTAAATGCCGAGATAATGACAATTTTAATACCAATTAAGGCCTTAATTTAAGAAAATAATAATTTAATGACTTGTATCGATTTTAAAGAGCACCCAGTAACGTGTGAGTGGTAAAATATAACAGCTCAGTGTGAGACACGGTGGCGGCAGCATCATTCTGTGTCTTTAAGGCAAAGTGAGCAGATAATCCTTCAACATTGATGAGCAGTAATCTGACGGCCGCACCTTTCGTGGCCTGGTTGCTGATGGGAGGAGGGTTGGGGGCGTTCCTCTTGGAAGGGTGCAGCGGCGGAGACATAGACGGGTCACAGTACTGGTACTCTGCGTTGGGGCTGGGGAGCCCCTGATTGTCCCAGGCCTCGCTGCTGCTGTTGCCCTGGCTGTCCATGTGGCTCTGGCCTCCCTGCAGTCGGTGCTGGGCCGCCTCCTGGAGCGAGCGCTGCTCTGAACTGGACCACCAGGACTCCTGCGGCGACGGCGCCTCCTCTTGGTTTGAGGGGCACAGCAGCCCCGCCATGGACAGCATCCCCTGAATGGCCTCTTCTGTGCTGGGTGAGGTAGGACGTTCTCTGCAGGAGGCGGCAGACTCACCGTTAGCCATCAGAGGACTTAATACTTTAAAAAGCTGCTCGACTGGGACGGTTTCTCACCTTTTGAGTGGTTTGTGTTTGTGCCTGAGTTTCTGAGCCGACTGGTCCAGCAGGAAGCCGTTCCCTGAGCCTGTCTGCTGAGATGAGCTCCTCTCCTCCTCCTCCTCCTCCTCCTGGGAACTCTCAGAATCATCGTCAGAAGAGGAGGACGATGACGACGACGACGACAAAGCTTTGCTCTAAAACGATGAGGTTCATTCAAAGACACTTGTCAGTAACCATGGTAACATTCATCAGCTCGCAGCATCACGATAACGGTGTTTTTTCCTGTCTAAATGCATGAGGTGAGAAAGAAAACATTCAAATCATTTACTTCTGAGGGAGAGTCGCTGTCTGACTCCAGGTCCGAGACGCTGGAGTGTCCCGACGCCTCTTCCCTGAGTTCGTTCTTCACCGTCTCCAGACTTCCTGGACACAGAGGAGCCTTCTCAGCGGCGCTGCCCTCCGTCCTCTCCAGCTTCACGTCCGGGCAGCTCTTTGGTGGGCCGGCAGCAGCCTGCTCAGCCTCCGTCTTTCCAGGGCTGCTCCCCGCTCGCCTCAGATCGCTAAAAACACAAGCAAACATAGAGCTGAACCCAGATCCTATAAACTGCATAAATAAACCTTTTTCATTTATTCAGACAAATTAATTTATTTTCTTTTAAGTGTCAGATCTTCTCGAGACATTTTTCCCCCAATAAGATGTCTACACCTTTGAAAGACTAAATTATTGTAGAGATAAGCGGATACGTCGGTTAGTTTAGTTCATTCAGCAAAGTGTTAGCATTGCCGCTCCCTCCCTGCAACATTGTTCATGTTTTCTTGGAACGTTTTTTTCTGATTGAATTTGGGAATAGTGTAAAACTTCGTTTCTTATGATGCAATGGGTCATTTACTGCTTGAGGCGAAAGCAGGAAAAGGGAACTTTGAGGCAAACACAAAAATTCCTTCTGAGATGTTTTTCCAAAAATAGTAAAGATTAATATTTGGACAATATTCAAACAATATGGTTTGAGAGGGGCGTGAAGGAAGCCATCTATGTGAAGAAAGAGAAAAACC